AGCATTTGGTCAGCATGTTCCAGGAACATCTGCAAAGAGACCAGAGGATGGCAGCTGGGGAGGGTCAGACTTTGTACAATCAATCAGCTCCGGGATCCAAGCGAATGGGTTCACACAATACAATTACTACATTAAAAGCCCCCAAACAGAGAGTTTTATTATTCTGAATGAAAGAAGTCGAGCTGAATTCTTTAAAAAAAAAATTCCAGCCCCTTGTTCCCACCCAAATTCTTAGTACCGCAGCAGAGAAAAGGATCTATGGAGTCTTGCCATTTCTGATGCTCAGAGTTTGAACTGACTGACCTCCAAACTACCAGAGAAACTCAGTGAAAATGTCAAAGGGTCAGGGGTTTGGCTCAGTGGTTCCGCTGACTGCCTCGCAAACACGAGGTCCCGAGTTCGATCCCCAGCACCAAAAAAAAGAAAAAAGAAAAAAGGAAAGAAAATGTCAAAGCCCTCACCTAAGAGCAGCCAAGTATGGCGCTGAGCACTGAAGAAAGTTGTCAGGGAGCAGAGCCCAGATTGCCTGTCAGTCCAGAGATGCCTCCCATGTCCTTCCTTCTTCAGCGCCTCAGCCGCTGGCTACATAGAAGAGTCTAGAAGCAAACCTCAGACTGCAGTTTGGGACTGCGGCTGAGAATAACAGTCCTAGGTATAGTGAGAAGGAAATGAGTGAGATGTACTGACACCACCTGGAGTAAAGACAAGGACAGGGCAGAGCTGCCTACGCTGAGCACCAGTGACACGAAAGGTGTCACGGAGGAGCTGTGCGCGTGCCACAGCTTCTTTGTACTGTTCAGTGTAGCGTGATCTTTTAAAGTAGATATGACTCTTCATATAAAGCCATAAACTCATTATTTCAAAATTTAAAAAGTAAAGCAAGGGGGCTGGGGATTTAGCTCAGTGGCACCATGCTTGCCTGGCAAGCACAAGGTCCTGAGTTCAATCCCCGGTACCACCAAAAAACCCAAATAAACAAAAAAAAGTAAAGCAATATACACAGACTTCTATTATCCCTTTTGGGATATTGAGACAAATAGTCAAGAGGCTCTGGATCTGAACGTAAACATAGAAAGGCGAGCAGCTGGTCTCTTCTCCCTCGGGAACGATTGTCCAGCCCATTCATCTTACAGATGAGGGACGAAGGCCCAAAGGGATTGCTCAAGGTTTCCTAGACACAAGGCTGCACTAGTGGAGACTGAAACTAGTGTTCCAGGGAGGGCGGAGTGCTGACTGAGGGTACAGCCCAACTGCCCCTGCCAGCTCCTCCAGACAGGGTCCAGCTCCTCTGAGCTTGCTCCACGAAATGAAAATCAGGATATTGCTCTTAGACTAGGCACTAGGACCTCTTCTCCATCCGCTGCAGGTGCAAGTTCTCACCTCCCAGCCCTGGCCCAGTCGCTGAGCCCCGGGCCCCCAGAAAGCTCAACAGCTGCCTTACCCTCTGCCTGGTGGGCATGGCAGGCTTGATAAAGACATCAAGTGAGTGGAGGGATTGGACAATAGGAGCCCTGGGAGCCACAGCCCAGGGGAGGGGACCTAGCACCCACAGGCCACCTGGTCACTTCTGCCTCAGGAGGAACCCAAAGGCCTTAGAGAGGGAAAGGGATTTGCTCATGGACACCATCTACTCTGAGGGAAGACTGGGGATGAAACCTCCAAGATGTCTATTTGCTTAAATACTCACCAAATTTTAATATTTATTGTAAGTACAATACATATTTTAAAAAACAAAAATATTTATTGGCAAGTTGAAAAGTGAGCTGTGCATGGTAGCGGTTGACAGTTGTAACCCCAGCACTTAGGAGACTGAGGCAGGATTGTTCTTTTGAGGCCAGCCTAGGCTACATAGGGTGTTTGAACCCAGCCTGGGTCACCCAGAAAGACACTGTCTCAACAAAACAAAACAAAAGAATAAAATTTACACAGCACAAGAGTCCTATTCTACAGAGATGTCCTTTGTTAGAATACTTAAAAGGAAAATTAATTCTTTTTAAATGTATTTTATTAGTATATATTGATTTTATAAAACACTGAGTTTCGATGTGGTATTTCAATGTGGTACAAGCATATAACATATATATGTATATATTTTTTGGTCCTGGGGATTGAACTCCGGTCCTTGGGCTTGCGCAGCAGGCAGCAAAACCACTAAGCTAAATCCCCGGTCCCATATAACATATTTTGATCGCATCTGTCCCCCTCTGACTCCCTCTAACCCTTTCCATCTCCCGCATCCTTTCTTTTTCCTTTTTTTCTTTTTGGTACCGAGGATCCAAGTTGAGACCTTACGCTTGCGAGGCAGGCAGAGGAGCCATTGAGCTAAATCCCTGGCCGCTCCCCCGTCCTATTGTCTAGTAACGTCCCTCTGCTAGTCTCAAAAGACAGGTATCACGGATTTGTCCTAATATGTAGAATCTTAAAAACAGCAAAATAGATTCTTATATTCCTTTTTAAATGAGGTTAAATTCTCAAACTTGGCTACTTCTGAGGTTACTTAGGCACCCTGTGGGTCTAACCGGTCTGGGGTGAAGCCTGGGCTCCCCCTGTGATTGTAATCTGTCACCAAGGCTGGATCTTGCTTCCAGGAAGCAATTGCTAATGGAAGATTTCCTGTTTGCTTCCTGGAGGGGCCCTTTCTCTCTTCTAGGATTCGGGTTTTCCCAGTATATCCAGCATAGCCATGTTCTGTCCATTGAGGATTCACAAAAGGGTAAGGTGAGGTTGTGTTGACCCACCTGCTTATGTGTCTGAAGGATGCTGACTGTTATGGCCTCTATCTAGATGTCCCCCGAAAGCCTCATGCAGTCATAGGTGGGGTTTTTCATCGGTGGCTGGATCCAGAGTGTGTGATGCTGGGATCAAGGGTATGTGATTACTAAATTACTCCACTAATTTGTTTGGCATAGTTCTGGGTATGAGTGCTAAGGCCACGTATCCTGGATAGAACATGAGGAGCAGAAAGAGGGCTGTTGTTATTACTTGCTGCTTCTTTGCTACTTTGCTGCTTTGCTCCCTCTGCCTGCCATGGACTGTTTCTCCTCTGTGATGTCCCTCTGCCATGCCACCCTGCCTTGGAGCTAGCCAACTATGAAGAGAAACCTCTACAAACTATGAGCTAAATAAACTTTTCCTCCTTTAACTTTGGGTGTTGGGTATTTTGTCTCAGCATGAGAAAAGTAGGACACAGAGCTTATCAAGGAAGATATATGTATCGAAATGGTGTCTGCTACATCTCACAAGAGCTTACACTGGGCTCCTGGGTATCCAAGGCTAATGATTGTGGGGTGTGAGGATTATGTGTGAAATTTAATAAATCACTTTGTGTGCTAATCAGATCCAGATATGAAGGTATTTAAATGTTCGGGGTGGGGTGGGGTGAAGGATACAGGGAATTGAACCCAGCTCTCACTGAGCTACATTTTCAACCCATTTTTATTTTGAGACAGGATCTCACTAAGTCACTAAATTCCCCAAGCTGGGCTTGAACTTTCAATTCTTCTGCCTCAGCCTCTCAGAGGGCTGGGATTACAGGCATGTGCCACCCAGACCAAAGGTATTTAAAATAAGATTCAGCCAAAGAGATCAGTTTCTTTGTTTACCAGTTACTCCTGAATATTAGAGATTTTTGTGTAAATGTATTTTCCCAATCATAAAGTGATACCTGTTCATTAAATATATCTAAAATATTCTCTCTCTCTCTCTCTGTCTGTCTGTCTCTCTCTCTCTCTCTGTCTGTCTCTCTCTCTCTCTCTCTCTCTCTCTCTCTCTCTCTCGCTTTGCTGGGGATTCAACTCAGAGCCACACATACATACTAGGAAAGTACTCTACTTAGCTATATCTGTAGCACTTCTTTTCTATTTTGAGACAAGATTTCGCTGAGGGGCCCAGGTTGGCCTGGAATTTACAATTCTCCATGGCCCGGGGATTTAGCTCAGTGGTTTCACCACCTGCTGCGCAAGGGCAAGGACCCGAGTTCGATCCCTGGTACAAAAAAAAAAAAAAAAAAAATCCTCCTGCCTCAGTCTCCCGATTGGTGGGAGTATAGTTGTGCATTACAATTCCAGAAAAAGAAAAACAAGTTTTTAAAACAAAAATCATCTGAAATTCTACCAGAGATAAATACTCCAAATATCTTGAATAACATTTAAATTGTTATTCTGTGGTTTACACGTAGGACCATACTCTGTCTCTGCTTGGAATTTGGATTTTTGTTCAACAAAATTTCTGGCCATCGCTCTATGCTGATGCATATAGACTGACAATATAGTTTTCATGACTTCGTAGTAGCCCATCAGTCTCTTGTTGGTAAATATTTAGGTTTTTCCTTAGTTTTTTGTAACTATAAACAAAGCTGATTCTAGATTATAAAAGCTTAGGTAGGATGTGGACTTAGATCTAGATGTGAACCTCAGTTCCCATTATTGGTTGATGATTTCTGAAAACTTACCACACCTCTCTGAGCCTCAGTTTTATCATTGGTGAAGTGGGGACAGAACCATCCTCTCCATAGAGTATTAAATAAAGCCAGGTGTGGCAAATACCTAAGCCAGAGCTTGAAAGAGGTGCTCAGAAAAAAATGCTAATCGGATGATAAGGACACAGAAATGACTCTCGTTCCTTACCACTGTGGCCACTCCCAAGCAAAAAGCAACTCAGATGTCCCAAGTCCCCCTCCTTTGTGCCGGCTGCCCACAGCAGGGCCCCTGCAAATGCTGTCTACAGGGGTGGTTGTTGGGACAATGCCAACCATTTTGTCACCACAGAGATGTCCTTGAGGTCCCTCGACCTCCAGCAAGTCCCCTTCTAGGACAGGAGGATGAAGGGTGATGGTGAGATGAGGGATGGATGGATGCCTCTGGTTTGCACTACTCAGTGTAGCTTGATTATTAAAAATAAGATGATTGTTCACATGAAACAATAAGCTCATTATTTCAAAATTAAATAAATGAAACAACAGACAAAGAGCTATGTTTTCTCTCCCCGGATGTTGAGACAACTGGCTGGGAGGCTCTGGATGGGAACCAATAACAACAGAACAGAGAGCAGCTGCTCTGTTCTCCCCTTGGGACCATGTTGTCCACCGCACTCGTTTTACACATGGGGAAACTGAGGCCCAAAGGGTTGCTCACCAGTCAAGGTGTCTAGAAGAGTCTGCAGCAGCGGAGGCTGAGGCCGGCACTCCAGAAGAGGCGGGAACACTGGCTGGGCGGCTCAGTGGCCCCACCGGCTTCTTCAAGGTGAGTGGGCTTAGCTCCACAGAGTCCACATTCTCTCCGCTTATACTTTTGACTCTAAGGAAAGAAAAGGAAGCCGGACATGGAGCTGCACGGCTGTAATCCCAGCACGAAGGAGGCTGAGCAAGAGGACCACTGCGGGTTCAAGGCCAGTCTGGACTACATAGAGAGCTCAAGGCCAGCTTGTGCTACAAACTGAGATCCTGTCTCAGAGAAGGAAGGAAGATAGTGGCCTTAAACGACCACGGTAAGGCCCCTTCTCCTTCAGCTGCAGATGTGAGTGCCCACGGAGCTCAGCAGCTGCCTCGCCCTCTGCCTGGTGGGCATGCCAGACTTAGGAAGGACCTGGGCGGGGGGGGCTGGAGCCAAAGCCGGGTGGGGGGGCTGCCTCCCCACTTCCTTCCACCTCAGGGGAACTCTCAGCCCCGATCGGGGATGGGGCTTGCCTGTGGTCACCATCCATTCTGGGGGAACAGTGGGGCCGGACCTTCAGGATGTCTATTTGGCTTACTTCTTCACCAGATTTTAATTTGGGGGGGGTACCGGGGATCGAACTCTGGTCCTTGAGCTTGCGAGGCAGGCGGCGGGACCACTGAGCTAAATCCCCGGCCCCAGATTTTAATTTGTATTATGAGAAAAATACATATGTTGTGTTATAAAGAAAACAATACATAAATACGTAAAGTTAAAAAGTGAATGGAAGCCAGGCATGGTGGCACATGCCTGTAATCTCAGCACTCAGGAGGCTGAGGCAGGAGGATCATTGTGAGTTCAAGGCCAGCCTGAATTGCAGAGGGAGACCCTGTCTCAAAAAAAACAGTGAGTGGAAGGTCTTCTGTTGTACACACTTGTAATCTCCTCAGTTGGCAGGCTGAGGCAGGAAGGTTGAAAGTTTGAGTCTCACCTGTGGATAGCCAAGTCTCAGCTGGGGAACTTAGCAGACTCTGTCTCAAGATAAAAAGGGCTGAGGATGTAGCTCAGTATGAAGACCCTGGATTTATTCTCTCTCTCTCTCTCTCTTTCCCTCTCTCTCATATATATTCATATATGTGTATGTATATATATATATCCATTTCTAGAGTGGTCTCTTCCCTCTTCTAGGACCCCAAATTCAGATTTTTCCAGTATATCCAGATGGCTCTGTCCTGCCCACTGAGGACTCACAAGAGGGTAAGATGAAGATGTGTAGGCCACGTGCTTGCATGTCTGACGGGCGCTGTCCTCATCAAGAAAGGTGAACATATCAAAACGTCATTTGTTGTACCACACAGGTTACACACCAGGCTCCCGGTCTCCAGGGCTAAAGGTTGAGGGTGTGTGCGTGTGTGTGCGTGAGTGTGTGTGTGTGTGTGGTTTGGTTAATCATTTTGTGCGATAACCACATCTAGATGCAAAAAGGAGTAAAAATAAAATTTAGTGAAAGAGCAGTTTCTTAATTTGCTGACTACTCGAGGACATTGAAGATTTTTCATGTAAATATTATTTTCCCACCTATAAAATTATATTTGTTCACTGTCATTTAAATAACCCTAAAATAATTTTTGTGGCTATGGGCATTAAACTCAGGGCCTCATATATCGCCCATAAGTGGTCTACCACCGTGCTACACCCACAGTCCTTTTTCATTTTTTTAAACTTTGAGACAAGGTGCCGGCTGCCCACAGAGAGGGTCCCTGCAGATGCTGGCCTCACCAACACGTCCACTGTGCTTGTGAATTTGAACGCTTTACCTACAGAGGTTTTCAGAAAAACGGAGACCACAATGATGTGCCTGAATCCTGAAGCCTCTTCCAGGACAGAAAGAGGAGAAGGTAGGTGGGTGAAAGGGAAGGGTTGATAAGGACAGGGTTAGTGTCAGTGATGCCGTTAGCACTGGAGTTGTGAGGATTATCACAATGAAAAGGAGGAAAATGTTTCTGAGAGATAGTGGGGATAAGGGAGCAGGAAGTGTGGACAGCAAGCCTGTGATGGGTGAGTGTTATGGCTTGGGTCTAGATGTCCCCTGAAGCCTCATGTGGGCATAGCTTGGGCTTTTTCAGAGGTGGCTCAATCTAGAGTATGTGATGCTGAGATTAAGGGTGTGTGATTACTAAATCAGTCCACTGATTGGTTTGGTGCTGCCGTAACCTGGTAAGAATATAAGAGGGGGCAGACAGAAGCTGCTAAGGTCACTTGTTGGTTTCCTTGTTGCTTTGCTACCTTTTGCCCACCGTGAACGGTTTCTCTTCTGCTCTACCACCCTACCTTGGAGCCAGGTGATTGATTATGGACTGAAACCTCTACAAACTGTGAGCTAAATAAACCTTTCCCACTCTAAATTGGGTGTCGGGTATTTTGTCTCAGCAAGAAGAAAAGTAATTAAGATAGTGAGGGCATGGAGGTAGAGAAATAATATAGATTATTCTAATGAAGACTTTTAAATGCCTGATGTTGGTTGCAAAGGTGAGATGGCGAGCTGACCTTCGCAGAGGCTGGTCACGCTGGCGAGACGATGAGTCACTGTGGCAGTGATCACCGAGGTGACAGAGAAGGCCCACGGGCCGGCAGATGTTGCAGGCGTTGGGTGAACAATCCAGCTTACGGGGCCTGGCTCTGGGCCACCAATCCTGCAGCTGAGGAAGAGCTGATTGTCCTCTCCGTTAGAGATGAAGGTAAAGAGGAGCTGAAGATGATACTTGCACAATCCTGGACCTTGACAGAAACCTGGTTCTGCCGCCATTTCTGCAATGAAACCCTATTCTGAAAACGAGGGTGCGTTCTCAAATAGCTCAGTTTTCCAAGATGAGGAAGGGGTGGGATGTTTGTGGGCGGTGAGAGGTGTATTTCCCCCAACTGACGCTAGGGGGCAGGCAGAGACCGCGTAAAGAGTAGGTGTTAGGTTGGAAATCCTTGTTTACTGAAATGTATTTGGCTTTTGTTAACACTTAGATAAAATCAAATTTGGCTTTGCTATGTTATTTTTAAAAAGCAATAAACTTATTTTCATTAAAAAAAAGAGTAGGTGTTAGGGCTGAAGAAGGGGTATCTTTGATCCCCAGGAGAAAGCCCTCCCCACAACTTTGAGAGGCCAGAGGGTCCAATAAACAGTACAGTGTGATGAGAGGGTTTTCCTTAGGGGCTGAACCCAATTGATACTCTCACTGAAGCAAGAGAGGTTTGGGATCCCCCTGTGCATGTCTGGGACCCGTCAGAAGGACTGTGGCACTCCTGGGCACCAGGGAAACGTCCTAGGGCCATTTTCCAGGAAGCAACACTGCAAGAAATGCTACCTGTTTCCTTAGTGCAATAGACAAAACATTGAGAAAGTAGCCAGGAGCCAAGATAACTGAAAATACCTAAGCATTTCCATAAATTGCTTTGGTCTTTACTGTTCAAAAGCATTCCAGCACCATAAGCAATACGAACCTCAAAAATACCCAATTTTTCAAAAGATGCCTGTGAATTCCTTGGGAGGATAGCATTGCTCCATTTTACAGAGAAGGTAACTGGGTCAGAGGTGTATCAACCCCACCTCCCAGGGTCTGTGACAGACATAAGCTCCGCTCACAGTGATGGTGGCTTGGTGACTCAATGCTGACCAGCTGCCTCTTCTTCCCCTTCTTCCACTCCCCCAGCTCCACCTGAACCAATAAGCTCCTGGCCTTCTGCTTCCTAGGAGCCCCCAAGCCAAGTCAGACACAGGGTTTCAATCCCTGTAGCGCGGCTGGGGAAAGTGAGCTCTTAACTTCTACAGTCCTCCCACTCAAGGGCAGGCAGGCCTGGGACCTGCAACCCCTCAGTTGCTATGGTTACCCTAACCCTAACCCTAACCCAGAGGACACAGCAATCCCTGAACTCTGGTACTTCTGAATGGGACCTTATTTGAAAACGGACTCTTTGAGAGTGGATTAGAGTGAAAATGAAGTCATTAGGATGGGCCCTAAGCCAACATGACTGGGGTCCTTATTAAAAGGAAGAAATGGGAGACAGAGTTGTTTTCACATCATAGAAAGGCTATGTTGTCATGAGCCAAGAAATTTCCAGAAGCTAAAAGGGAGGCCTGGAACATATTCTTCCCTGGCTGCTTTAAAGAGGTGTGGCCTTTGATCTCTGACTTCTGGCCTCCAAAGCTGTGGAAGAATAAATTCCTGATGCTTAAGCCACTCGGTTTATAGTCCTTTGTTGCCTGTCCAGGAAGCAAGGGTACCAGCCATGTGACATCTCCATGCCTCCACTTCTGTCCCTGTAAAATGAGCAAATAATGCACTCTCCCTTGCAGGATTCACGGGAAATGAAAGATTACAAGTCCCGCAGTCCCAGCAACTTGGAAGGCTGAGGCAGGAAGATCATTTTGAGCCAGGGAGCTCCAGATTAGCTTGGACAACATATCAAGACTGCCTGTTAAAAATCATTAAACAATACAAAACAACTAAACAAAAAACTTGGACAAGAACAGAATCCAGAAGAACACTCTGCTCCTGAATCTGACTTGGTCCAAGAAGTAAAGATAAAAAAGCTTTAATGGGGCCAGGATTTAGCTCAGTGGTTCCGCTGCCTGCCTCGAAAGTGCAAGATCCAGAGTTGGATCCCCAGTACCAAAAAAAGGGTAACTCAGGTTTTGTGTAGCTTGGAATAGCCATCAAGAGGTAGAAGTCACTGTCATAGGTTTGCTTCCTATAACTGTCAGGGCTCAGTCTGAAGGAGGAAAAAGGAAATTCCCACTGTCCTGCAGAATCACGGGAAGGAAATATCACCATATTTGAGGATGGCACCAGTTAAGGGCAAGTTTAAGTTTCAAACAACCGAATTCTTTCTAGTTAGTTTAATCAGGAAATGAATATATGGGCTGAGATTGTTGCTTAGTGCTAGAGCACTTGCCTAGCACAAGTGTTTGATCCTCAGCATCACAAAAAAAGGGGGGGAGAGGGAGGAGAGAGAAGGAAGGAAGGAGAGAAAGAGAGAATGAATGAGTAAAATGTACTTAAACATGCCAGAGAGGTAGGAAAAACGCCCAATGTTTTGGGAGTTGCAGGAGTTCCTCTGTGAAAACACCCTTGCCACTGCTCAGTACGGCTGATGCTCCGAACTGGATGAAGAAAAGAAAAAGAAGTGGATGCAGGGCCAGGGATTTAGCTCAGTGGTTTCACTGCCTGCTGCGCAAGCACAAGGACCCGAGTTCTATCCCCGGTACCAAAAAAAAGAAGAAATGGATGCAGACATCCCACTTCTGCACCGCGGGAGAGCAGGGTGGAGGATGAAGGCTAAGATGGGGTGAAGTTGAGGGTTAGGCCTAGAGTTCTGGCATCAGGCCCCTGCCCCTATAGTCAGTGCAGATGAGAGGAGCTCATTCACTCATTCACTGCACAAATAGGTATGGCCTGTGTCCTATGTGCCGGGAACTGTGCTAAGCGCCAGGGACAAAGTGGTGACAAAAACAAAGACACACCATTTTTGTTCTTGTGGTGCTTTGAGATTATTGGGTGAGACAGTGCTGGAACAAGGGAAGCCTGGGGAGATGAAGAAGCCAGGGTCTGCTGAGAAGGGCAGGATGAGAAGGAAGCCGAGAAGGGCATGAACTCTGCAGAAGGCAGCCTCAGCTCAGCCCTGGCCCAGAGTCCAGCACCTCGAGGCTGCCGTCCGTGGCACCTGTGCAAGAGAAACTTGCTGTTTGTCCTTACTGATGCCCGTAGCCTGGACCCTGCACACCCTGAGAGATCCTCAACCATTTCAGAAATGAGCAGTCGTGGTTCTCTCACAGCCAAGGGACAGGAGGGAGTGAAGCAAGTTCACCAAGCCCAGGTGGTAAAGGCTTAGGCGGATTTGGGGCCCACTGTGCAGAGTGGCTGCCTCAGTGCTGCCATCTGGAAAGGGGAACAGATGGGATGGCTCAGATTATGTGGAGAACACTCGTCACCGCGACCTTTTGCCGAGTTGCCTGAGGAGCATGTGTTCTGTGTGTGGCCTCACGGGACACCGGCCACTTCATCCTCCGAAGTCGGAAGCCTCCATTAGCGGTGCTGTGCAGATGTGAGCAGCCCTTGGACTCCAGCCCTGTCCCCAGACCTTCCCTTCTGTGGCTTGGCTCCCAGTCTTGCCCAGGCCCAGGCTGTCACCCGCAGATGCTGGTTCACTCCTTCTCCAAAGTGCTGCTCTGCTTCCCTCTGCAGCCATCATAGGCAAGGATCTTGAAGTTCTGGAGCTGGCACTGAAGAGGAATCTGGACTGAAGAGCCCAGCCGGGACTAGTGACGGGAGGCTCCAGGCAGTGGGGCTGCAGGGGCAGGAGAGACGCCCATGGGAGGGGACACAGCAGGTCTGAACAGTGAGCAACAGAAACTACCTGTGTCCAGGGATAGAGAACAGGGAGCTTGGTGGTACAAGTGTGAACTCTCCACCCGAGACCCTGCTTTCTGGGACCTTCCCTTCATTAGGTGTGACAGTGGTATGGTGATAATGTAAAGTGTATGGGTCCTCACTAGGTATTCATGGGTTAATCAGAATGATGCCGAGGTCTTGATTTTAAAGCTGGGGGTGGGGGAGATGCACACAAACAGTATTCTTCACAGGTCCATAATTGTTGGAGCTAGATAATGGGTACATAGGGGTTTATTATGTAATTCTCTTTACTTTTCCATGTCTTTGCATCTTTCCATTGCTTAACAGAAAGAAAGAAAGAAAGAAAGAAAGAAAGAAAGAAAGAAAGAAAGAAAGAAAGAAAGAAAGAAAGAAAACCTTTACATATGCTGTCATGGAGGGAGGAAGACAGGGAAGAAAACCAGTTTGTTATCTTTCTATCTCTCAGAGTTAGAAAGAATGGAATTTTTAGAGGAATCTCAAAGCCTTCTTTGTACATCTTTACATCCTTTCACAATTTTAATGAGCATCAATTCCTTTTGTGATTTAAAAAATAATTTTAAAAACTATATTACAGGGCTGGGTGTGGTAGTGCATGACTGTAATCCCAGCATTCAGGAGGCTGAGGCAGGAGGGTTGCCATGAGTGGGAGGCCAGTCTAGCTACATAAGGAGTTCAAGGCCAACTTGAACTATATAGTGAGATTCTGTCTCAAAAACAAAACAAAACCAAAAAAAAAAAAAACAAAAAAACACCACACACAAAACACACAAAAAAAAAACCAAAAAAAAAAAAAACAAAAAAACACCACACACAAAACACACAAAATTAACAGTTTGAAAATCAATAAATAATATTTTACAAGAATACTTGTAACCACTGGAAAAAGGTTGTTCTGTATTGTGGAATAAGAAAAGCATTGTGGGGACATCTTATTTTTATAAAGTGCTAGGAAAGCGTGGCTGCCAACCCCTCCTACCAGCAGACTTCACTTTTGAATGAGATCTGGCAGGTCTGTGGGTTCAGAGCCCAATCCCGGTTCTTGTCGTGTCTCTAGGTCTCAGCAGTGCCACTCCAGGGCTGGGTGACCTGAGCCAGCTGTCTCATCAGACACCAGCTGCGAGTTCCAGGGTCTACTCATACTTTTCCTGCACTGGGTGTATAAACTTTGGGGTTCCGCCATGCCTCAGCTTTGATGATTCTCTAGAATTCACAGAACCCCAGAAGGCACTTAACCTACTGCTACTGTTTATTGTAAAGGACAGAGCTCAGGGAGAGCCCAGAGGAAGAGATGCAGGGGACAGGGTAAGGGAGGGTTTCGTGCCCTGTCCAGGGTGCACCCCCATCCCAGGATATTGATATATTTACAAACCCGGAAGTGCTCCAAACCCATCATTCAGGGGATTTTGTTGAGGTTTCTTTTAGGCACAATTGTTCAACCATTGCCCTTTGGGGACTGAAGTCAGTCTTGGGGACCCAATCTCCTTGAGGATGGCATGAAGTTAAGAAGGAAACTTCTAGCCAATCCCTGCCTGTGGGGCCCCTGCCCTTCCCACCTGCCCTGGCTCTCTGATTCCACCTTCTGAAGCCAAAAGGCTCAGCCATAGTACTTGGGAAACAGTAACACTATCAGTGTCCTGAGAACTTCCAAAGCAGATTCTGAGTTGGCAGATCTAGGGTGAGGTCTGAGCAGTTGCCTTTCAAATAAGTAACTCCCAGCCCCACTGTCCTGTCCTATAAAATTGGCCACAGAGGAAGAAGCAGCAGGATTGCAAATTTGAGGCTAGCCTGGGAAACTTAGTAAGATCCTGTGTCAAAATAAAATATAAGGGCCGGGGATTTAGCTCAGTGGTTCCACCACCTGCCTCGCAAGCTAAGGACCCAAATTCGATCCCCAGTACCAATAAATAAATAAATAAATAAATAAATAAATAAATAAATAAATAAAGGACTGGGCAGGATACAAAATCAACACTTAAAAATCAACAGTTTTTCTATACACCAACAACAAGTGAGCTGGGAAAGAAATCAGAGAACCTGTTCCATTCACAGTAGTGTCAAAGAAAAGAAAATACCTAGGCATCAACTTAACCAAAGAGGTAAAAGACCTCTACAATAAAATTTACAGAATAGTGAAGAAAGAAATTGAAGAACACACTACAAGATGGAAAGGCCTCCTGGGTCTGTGGATTGGCAGAATTAATCTTGTTAAAATGGCCACATTTCCAAAAGTGATGTACTGATTCAGTGCAATGCCCATCAAGATTTCAATGACATTCTTCACTGAACTAAAAAATTCCTAAAATTCATATGGAAACACAAAAGACCAAGAATAGCCAAAGAAGTCCTAAGCAAAAAGAGCATGGCTAAAGACATCACAATAACCAATCTCAAATTATACTGCAAAGCCACCATAACAAAAACAGCATGGTACTGGAAAAAATAGACACACAGACCAATAAAAAGGAATAGAAGACACAGCAACAAACCCATATAACTACAGCCATCTGATTCTTGGCAAAGGAGCCTGCCTTGCAAGTGCAAAGTCCTGAGTTCAATCCCTGGTACAAAAAAAAAAGTCTACAGAGCAAGAGAAACAATCAACAGAGTAAACAGCCAGCCTACAGAGTGGAAGAAAATCTTGCCAGCTACTCTTTTGACAGAGAATTAATATCTAAAGCATATAAAAAACTTAACATCAAAAATCAAATAGCCCAATCAATAAATAAGCAAATAAATTGAACTGACTAATGTCAAAAGATGTAGAAATGGTTAATAAATACATGAGAAAATATTCAACATCTTTATCCATTAAAGACCTGCAAATAAAAACTGCATTAAGATTTGATCTGACTCCAGTCAAAACGTCTGTCATCAAGAGTACAACAATCCACAGTGGTGATATAGGGGAAGAGATGTAACTCCCAAACCTACTAGATATCTGAAACGTGAGTTCATGTTCTCTAAAATTGAAGAATGAATTCTAGGAACAACGGAGGTTAAGAGTAGGAAAAATTTATTGGGAGAAAGAAAGCTTCTGCCTAAGAGAGACAGAAGGGGGACCGGAAAGTGGGTTGCCCACCCACCCCACTTTTCAAAGATGTTTTATACAGCAAAGCCATGTGGTGAGAGGGGTACAAAGTGGGACAAAACTATAAGACCCAGTGGAAATTTACAAGGTGGGTATGAGGTGGACAAAACCATGACCAACCAATAAGATTACAAGTGCAGTCACCCAGGTAATATTGATTAAATGGGGATCCAATGGGAAGACAAATCACATACAAGGAATTTCCCACTTAGAATATCAATCACTGCTATCTATCTCTAGGGGAAGCAGTACTTCTTTTTCTTTTTATAATGCTGACCAGTGAAAGTGCCTCAATTGTTCTCCATGTTGGTTCCTTGCTGTGTTGGCTTCTGGAGGGCTGGTACCTTAAGGGAGGCCCTGTCTACCTGCCAACAAGATATCTAATTAACTTGCCTATCTATAATACTGGGAGCAGGGAGATGGGGGTGGGGGGACCTTCTACACTGCTGGTGGAAATGTAAATTAGTACAACCACTATGGAAATCAGTGTGAAGGTTTAAAAAATCTAAAAATAGAACACATAACCCAGTAATATGACTCCTTGGAATATATTTGAAGGAATTGCATCCAGATACTATGAGATACCTGTATACCCATGTTTATTGTGGCAACATTCACAATAAGCAAGGTGTGGAACCAGCCCACGTGCCCATCAGCAAATGAATGGATAAAGAAATTGTGGTATACATACACAATAGAGTACTATTCAGACACAAAGAAGAATGAAATTATGTCATCTGCAGGAAAATGGATGGACCTGGAGATCATCAGGTTAAGTGAAATAAAGCAGAGAGCAAGATGAGTATCACATGGTTTTCCTAATATATGGAATCTTAAAAAGATGACATGAAATGAAGAGAGATCATTATTAGGCAAGATGAAGGAAATAAGGAGAAAGGAAGGGGCATATAAGGAGGCTACTAGGAGAGGGGGAGGAAGAAGTTATTAATTATATCATTATGAGATCAAGATGGCTGGGCGTGCTGGCACACGCCTGTAATCCCAGCCCACAGGAGGCTGAGGGAAGAGGATTGCCGTGAGTTCAAGTCCAGCTTGAACTACACAGTGAGATCTGGTCTCAAAAGAGAGAGATTGCGATGTTGATATGACTTTATTGAGGTGAAAATATATTTCCTGCACTTCTTAAATGAAACAGCAAGTTATAAAGCTGTATAATTGGTGTTGCCAAGTTTTAATTTTCACAACTGTATTAATGTATAGTGATACCAAGAAATCATCTAAAATGGTATTCACTTAACTGTTTCAATCTGTTTCTGGGCATGAGATGCTCAGCACATTTTCCTTTTTGCGTAAGGGTATTTTTTGGCTTGTGCTATAAAATGTTTGTAAATGGGTAAGTTAAGAATTGCTTTAAGTAATTATTGTGGTTTTACAATGTCTGGTTCCAGACACTACGGGAGTGATGTCTGGGAGTCTCCAACCATTGTCTTAAAGTTGTAATCACTTCGGGTTCCAGGAAAATCGAAGCTTCACAGACCATCCCGGATGAGGTCCTCCACCAGGCAGGAGCAGCTGCAGAGAACTGACCTGTCCCTCCTAAGCAGAAACCATTATCCCTGATGGGAACTAAATTTCCCCTCAAGCAACGATGGCTCCCCCAAATCCTCAGAGCCAGTACGGAGACAGGAAACCAGAACAAGGCTTGACCGGAATTACCTGTGCTGCAGCTACGCAAATCCCCCAACCTTGCTTTTGTTCCTCTTTTATTTCAAACCCCAAAGCTTCCATCACCCCCCAGAAAACAGACCCTGAACGCCTTATCCGTGCTTCCCACCATACACTGATTAAAGCTTCTTTCCTGCCCTTCACCACTGCTGGTCTGTTGGGCCTTATGGGACAGGTGGCCAAGACTGTACTTTCAGGACCTCCCAGAGCTGGGACTTCTGCCCTAAAATTTCAGGAATAAAATCTCTAGCTTGTAAAATGATGCTGTCTCTCCATTCAGCATACATTTCTTAGGAATGTCTTTCAACTAGGGGAAGCCGAGGGCTCTGGGTAGAAATTGCTCGATAATTCACATTCCATCATCACTATCATACCCAGTTCCCAAAAGGAAAGTTTTGGATCTGATCATAACCCTGACAGATTCCCCTTTTCTTCACACATAGATGTAGAAATAGGAGGAAGCCAGAGGTGTAGATATAGCCCCAGAGCCACTTGTGCCTGTCTTCTTAGCTCACAACTGCTCCCACAGATCTGAGACACAACTACAAAGCTATATCCATATCCTATTATTATTATTATTACTATTATTATAATTATTTTGAGGCAGTTTCTCACTAACTTGTCCAGGCTGGCCTTGAACTTGAAAATATTTTTTACACAGTAAAAATCAAGTGAAATTCTACCACTGATAACTACTCTAAATATATTGGGGAGCAATCGTCAAGCAATCATTTTATGAGTTTACACATATATTTTGCATCAGTAGGATTAGAGTATATCTCCTCTTGCAACTTGATTAATTTGTTCAACAATATTTATGAGCATCTCTCCATGGTGCATATAGATTAACACTATGCTTTCTTTTCTTCTCCAGTACTGGGGATCAAACTCAGGACCTTGGGGGTTGGGGATTTAGCTCAGTGACACCACACTTGCCTTGCAAGCACAAGGTCCTGAGTTCGATCCCCCGTACCAAAAAAAA